TTCAACACCTGGAGGCGGAGGTATGTGCACTGTTTGCACATGCATAGACAATGCTTTGGGTTTTCTTTGGTGGGGGGGGACTTAAGCCCCCCAGTGTCTGTTTTCAACATTTTCAGATTTTTATGCAAACCTGGGGAAATCCCTCAAGTTTGCAGAAATATCTGTTTATAGTCAGTGTGGCTCCAATTAGCAGATTTAGATACCCAGAGACGGGGTTTTCATTAGTAGATATACAGATAAATATGGGTCTGTGAGGAATCATATAGTGTACACAGAGGGAGATTCTGAAAGAATATACTATTTGGAAATTCACATACAGCTCTCCTCCAGCATTTTATAAACTCTTAGTAGCTGGATCAGGCAACTATTCATTGCCTGACCCTTTTAAAATTATTCAACTGTGCTCAGCATTGCATGTCTCCGGTAGCATGCTCAATCATCATCATGCCATACATGGAGGGGTTTTCCCTTTTCCACCTAGATAATTTATAATATACTTTCTGCATACCCGAAGAATCCCCTTGGTATGCAGAACCCCCTAATTTTTTCTATGAGGGGTCTGGATTTATTTCTTTCACAAGCGACCCACTACACTGTTTACATAACAGTTACAAACTGGGAGTACTATGAGGGGCACATAATGTATTGGGAAATCACCCTTCCCTTGCAATATATACCCCGTTTACTAAGAAATGAAGAAATGACGAAATGGGGAAAAGGGAAAATCCCATCTTTCCCTGCTTGCCACAGCTTTATTCTCTTTTGCCCTGCCTAATTGCACATTCCTCCCAATCACACACTTTCCTTCCCCCTTCCCAGCCCATTTGTTCTGGCTGAGGAGAAACCAAGGTTCTTAGCCCCTCCCCCCCGGCGGAATGTGTTATTTGCACATGATGACCACTCGTTGCTATTACATATATGATATTAGTCCTCAAGTGATACTTGCAGGGTATTTCCACATTCTGGTTGTCCTTCTTTGGCAGAATACAGAGAAAAGTGGCTCTACAATGTTTGCTTCTTAGGACACTGTCACCTGTACAATAGTAAGCAACGTCTTTCTGGTGTATGAAAAACACACCAAGTATTTAAAAAGTTAGGAATTATTAATGTTAGCTGTTTTCTAGTGTTTCTCTTTAAATTCATGGAAGTTTGATAGTTCTCTGATATCTTAGGTTCAAACCATATTGTTCTAAAGTCAAAGCGTGTTCTCATGCTCAGGATGTTTGAGTACCGTGAAAGACAATGATTTATGCAACTACAAACAAAAACAACTTTATGAAACTTTTTCTACCCCAAGAGACATTACAATTTGGCTTGGGGTAGAGATGATATCTCAAATGAAATATGTATTAAATTGTGGGTTTTTTAAATCAGCTTTTAAGAGTTAAATATACCATCAGCATTCAGTTACAACAGAATCAAAATAATTTTATCTAAGAGGTCACAAAGAAAAAATCAAATTTAGAATTGTTATGGGAATTTATGGGAAAAATAAGTTCCAGTTTCAGAAGCAATTTCTAAAATAAGTGATTTTAAAAAATAATTGGAAACACAATACAGTAGTGCTAGGGATGTACTCTCTCTTTCTTTTACTTATGATTAGCTGGACACAGATAAGCAGAGAAGTTAATTAGGTGTAGAAAAGAAAAATATGAAGATATTTACTAGACCCCAACAAAATAAATTATCTGTGCAATCTGTTGGCTTTACAGAACAGGAATACATGATGAATCTCACATTACCTGTATCTGAAGAAGTGTCCTCGCACATGAAATCTTATACCTTGAATAAAACTTTGTTGGTGTTAAAGGTACCCCTGGACTCAGACTTTGTTCTGCTGCTTCAGACCAACACGGCCACCCACCTGAATTATTTATTCAAGGATGTCAGTTTTTTCATTCATAAGCAATAAAAGTTTGCTTTGGATACCAGAGCAGCCAAAAAAAATTAGTAATGTTAAAAAGTATGCCAAAGTATAAGCCCTTAGTGTATGAACTAAAAAAGAATTTGTGTGATGGGTGCTTCTGCACCTTCAAAAAGTTTGCTATGACAACAGCCTGAAGTTTTTCCACACAGCAACTGTAAATCAACATACTTAACAAAAATAGCACCAAATCACCGCAGTCTTGATATTAGTCAGAAAGTAACACATGACTCTCTGAAGACCATAAACAAAGTGACAGTTCCTAAGAGACCATTAAATAATAAAAAAACTGGGTTTGTAACAAGTTTCATTAAAACATGCTTACCTGTCTTGACCTTGGCCTCCCAGGAGAAAACTTCCTTTTGGTGATAGCTGGTTTTCCCATGCCAATTTTTGGAGTGAAAGATACATATGTTCCTGGAAGAGTTGCTGAGGATTCTAGCGATGAAGCTTGACTGCGCATCATGTCATGTGAAGAGCCTAACTCTAATGAAGCTGCTGGTGAGGAAGACACACTTGTCTTGTTTATTTCAACAGATGATGGAAATGAAGAATATGTCTCAGCTGGTGATTTTAAAGATTTCTCTCCTGATGGTGAACTGTCAGTTGCACAACTTTCACTTGCAGGAAGAGATGATGTTTCATAATTTTCAGGAGTGTTACCTCCTTCTGCATTTTGTGGCACTATCCTTGCTTCTAGTTGCTCTTCTTTTCTGAAGGAGGGTCTCTCTTTGTTTACCAAAACGAAGGTTTCCGGCATCTTAGCTATGGTGTCAGGTGTCACAGGTGGAAGCTGACATTCCTCCGTGGACACTTTTAACACCTCAGTTTCATCCTGTGATGGCTTCATTTCCTCTGCTTGCTTGTCTGATACTTGCTGCATTATATCTGGAATATTCTCAGCCACTTCCATCTGTTTGTCAATGCAATCATCATCAAGCACGGGACTCTTTTTAGAGGATGGTTCCATTTCATCAGTACCAAAATGATCAGAAACTTGCTTTTCCAGTTCACTACTCTTTTTGTCTATTGAGATGTCTGAAACAAATGGGGAGGGCGGGGTATTAAATAAATAAATAAATCTCATTTTAGCCTTAAATGATAGTATCATTGGTAGAACAATTATCAGGATTTTACAAAATAAGAGCTATGTGAACATCTACATTTCCCCCTAAAAATGCAAGAGCGGATGTTGGTGCAATAGTGACAACATCTAGAAATTCTGGAGATATGTGATACATACATGATGTGTCCTTGTCTTGGGTGAGATGACTGGTCTACCAAGGTCTACCTACTTCAACTGGTAGTGACTCTTCAGGGTATAATACAGAAATCTTTCACATAACCTGCTACCTGATCCTTTCAATTGGAGATGCCATGGATTGAACTTCCTACCTTTTACATGCAAAGCAGATGCCTTAACCAATGCATCACAGCCCCATCCCTAAAGCCTTGGCCTTAACTAAGGTCAATGATTTTGAAAACAACCATTTTATCTGGTAGCTTGGAATACGTTGCTAGTATGCCATTACAGACTGGCCTAAATGTCTCTTGATTTCTATTAATGTCTCTTAATTTCTATTAATTACAGTGATACATTATCAAAGACAATGAAGAATATAATGGCTTCTTTGCTACTAATTCATTAAAATAATTTAACTAGAAAAGAAAAATTGGACCCCTGCACATTGATTTCGAAATGAAAATTCTGGATGGTAAGAAGATACCTAAGAGATGCAATTAAAGCGAACCAGCAAGCACTGATATGTGTTCAATGGTGCCCTGAAAGAAACAGCAGGCCAAATCAATCCAGTAAGAGCTCTGCCACCATTGGCCACCATTCCCCCCCTCCAGGAAGCCCATTTGGTAAGCTGCCTTGAACCATGTGGAAAGGCACCGTGTAAATGTTTTAATAAATATAAACAAATAAATAAATAAGCATAGAATGAAGGCAGCAGCCTCCCCTCATTGTTTCTCTCCTGCAATTGTTATATTACTGCTCAAGAATGGCTAGGATGGTGCTCATGGATGCAAATCATCTGACCTTTCCCCTCCCTCTACAGCTCGTGTCCCCTGAAGTCACAATCCAAGTGTTAAAGGACCCACAAGAACAGTACGGGGAGGATGAAACAGAGTTGTGCACCAGAAGGGGGGAATCAGTGCAAATTCTCCCACTCTGTTTTTTCTGTTGGCAGAAGTGTCTTCTGCAACTAGAAAATTTAGCAACACCATTAAACTTCCATTTAACCACTGAATTTCCATTTAGTTATCATGGTTAAAAAGGGATTAGATAATACCGATCATACTTTTATAAACCTCCATTAACCCTCCATAATCTTCATTATTTCTAAACCAGGGCTGCAATCCTGAGGATATTTTCCTGAAAGTAAGCCCCAGATAATAACACGGGACTTACTTCTGAGTAGGCCTTGCTCCCTAAAAGTGCCCTGATGAACTACATGTTTATCATTGATAACCTTCAAGTACTTAGCAGCTGAATATTTTAAGATATTAGACGGAAGTAAAGGGGGAATGCTACAGCAAACTACCTAAATCAATTCTACAACGTAGTCACTGAATCACCGAAGGCCATGTTTAAACATACTGTTATTAAACTATATCAGTAACAACTTTCATTTTGCTTTGGTCACTGATTTCACATGAAATCCTCATATTTATCATCTATATTACCACCGGGATCTTTTAACTCAGCTTCTGTGGCAGCTCTTACAGTTATTTTCTCCCTCTATTATGTTACTCAAATCTGCTTAATGTTTTAAAATTCTTCTGTTTTCACCGTCCTCTGAATTGGTATCCACAAGTTTCTCATTCTACTAAGTGACTGAGCAGAAACCTAGGAGCAGTCATGCCTTCAGAAAAAAGTACCCAGTAATAAACTTTAACTTATTTACATATTTCTTCAGATTGTCTTAGAGCATTTTATACATTGATGTAGAACATGATTGTCATGGAAAATCAACAAATACTTAAAAATATGTACAAGCTTACATATTCATGGTTTTCCTGCCTACTTCTCTTATAAAAGTCTTTTTCTTTCTCATCACTTGAGTCTACTACTCCACAACTGACGTCTAGATTCTCCAAATACTTTGTATTTTCTAAAATCAAAAACCTTTTCTAAACACACATGGCCAAAATAGGGACCCCTACATAATTACATACATTGTCTTGCTACACAATGTTCTTACCATCTACGATGCATCCAATGGCCGACTCTTGAGCAAGGCTGCTGTCCATTATTAGCTGGTCCTTCTTTACCATATCATCTGCACCATCTTCTATTTCCATTTCATCTGCACAAACATAAGCAGCAGAAAAGAGTTTATCAGTCTTGATGAATTTATTACATTTCCCTGTTGTTAGTAATTGCTATCATAGCTTGACCTTTATTTTAAGAACACAAAGTGGTATTTTGACAGTGTGGTTTCAATGAGCTAGATTCAGAACAGTTCTATTCATAAATTAAGGGAATTTTTTCATGGTCAGCTATACCACCACATAAGCTTCTATATGGGATTAAAGTGTTTCAGCGGCATGGTGAATTACATTCGCCTTACTTTTGCATTACGTTTGCTAAACTTTGTAGCTGCAAAGTTAAATTGCCTTTGTATGAATTCACATTGCCATCTAAGAATGATCCTGCAAAGAACTTGATCGCTTGCTGATTTCCACAGACTTTAACAATGTGTAGCACAGGAAACTTTCATCCTGCCTGAATGACTCCGTAAAAACAGAGCATGAATTTTCTACTTGATCTCTAGAGTTTATTCTCAAACTAATAATCTATCTTTTGGACTCAAGCTCACTGTGATGTACATTAGCTACAAAGACCCTACACATGAACATACTTCATACTAGTTACACTCATTAAAATGCACTAAAGCAAGTAGGCACAGAGAAAAGGTCTCTACAGGAATATTAAATCTTATGAGAAGACTCGTAGAGAATATTATTGTAAAAAGTCATAACGAAGGCCCCTTTTTATATGAAATAGCCCAGAAAATCCTAAAACTGCTGCTTTCAAGTTGCTATTCTATTCCTATATGAGACTCCAAAATAATTAAAGTGAAATTTAAACTTCAATTTGAATAAAATGATAATTTACATTGGTTTCAAATCTGCGTTAAAGTACTGATCTCATGAGTGTATGGTGCAACGTAACTATATATTATACTTTGTTATTCAAATGACAGTGCCATTTTTCATATGAGAAGAACACGTTTCTCAGTTTTTCTTCCAGTTTGAAATAGGACCAAATAGGACTAATATACTTTTTCTACATGGCATTATGTTCCACTATCATTATAATATTATCATTGTTTCATTTAGAACATTTCTACACTGTCTGTCCATGGGACCTGCCTGAGGCAGCTTACAGTATCATCATGATATCATCATATATTCTAATAGTCAAGTCAGCCAAATCTAAGGATAGCTAAATCCAGTGACTGGAGCTGTGACCGGATCATCATCTTATATTCTAATAGCAAAGTCAGCCAAATCTTTGGATACTTAAATGTGGTGACTGGATCTGTTAACAGCCAAGACAAGTTTTTCCTACAAACCTGAAAAGGGCCACAAGGTATGCAGAAAAATGTGAAATCTTAAAAAAAAAATAAAAATAGGATTTAAAAACCTAAAAATGATAAAAGGAGTGCCTGTAGCTTTAAGCAACCTCAGTGATTGTTGCTAGGCAACCACAATATTCCAGGCTGTATTTGTGTGAGTAAAAAGGCAGGGGGAGAAGGCAGAGTCCTTTTGAGGCCTATTTTGGCCTTTAAGGAGGTATTGATTGGGGCCAGGCTATACGGTTGCCAGCTCCAGGTTGGGAAATTCTTGGAGATTTTGTGGTGGAGACTGAGGAGGGTAGGGCTTGGGGAGGGGAGAGGCCTCAGCCTAATATATGCCATACAGGCCACCCTCCAAAGCACTTATTTTCTCCAGAAGGACAGATCTTTGTCATCTGGAGTTCAGTTGTAATTCTGGGAGATCTCCAGGTCCTACTTGGACACTGGCAATTTTAGGCCTGGAAGTAATCTCTGGGTGACTTGATATCACCCAACTTCCATGACTAAACTAGGCCTGGCTGCGTGCTACCGTTCAACAGCAGCCAACTTATGAAAGCCAATGTGTTAGAGCTTCGGAGTAGGGTCTGGGAGTCCCAGGTTCAAATCCCCATCTTTCTCTAGAATCTAACTGGTTAGTAACATACTTTCAGCCTAACCTACCTCACAGGGTTGTTGTGAGGATAAAAAGGAGGAGAGGAGAATAATGTAAGCTGTTTTGGTCTCCAGTATGGAGAAAGGTGGGGTATAAATGAAGAAAATTAATAATAAATATAGATGAAGATTAGAGGGAGATGAAAGGTAGGATAGTGAATGGCTGAGAAGGAGAGAATGAGCAGGGAAAGGGGAGAGGATACAGGGGTTGCCAGGAAAAGGGAAATAATGTGGGGGTTTCAGGGGAAAGTGATATGCCCCCCCCCACAAGTCCTTTAGGGTTCCCTACCATGGAAGTGGGTCTGGCCCAGCAGCTGGTACCACACAACTGAGCCACATTTTTCCTAGGCAGAGGCTGTGAGAGGCAGCTGAAGAGAGGGGCAGATAAACGTAGATTGGCTGTTGGGTAGGAAAGAGAGAAGGAAGCAGGAAAAGGGGAGTGGCTATGGGGACTTTCAGGGAAGGCAAAGACAAAATAGTGGGGGAGGTGGAAATGGGATGCCCCTCACAAGTCCTTCCAGGTTCTCACTTGTGAACATAATAAAACCTAGCACCTTAACAATACAATATACTATAAAAAAGGTAAAGGTAAAGGTTCCCTTGCTCGAAAGCCAGTCGAATCTGACTCTAGGGTTGCGGTGCTCATCTCCGTTTCAAAGCCGAAGAGCCAGCGCTGTCCGAAGACGTTTCCGTGGTCATGTGGCCGGCATGACTAAACACCAAGACGCACGGAACGCTGTTACCTTCCCACCGAAGTGGTCCCTATTTATCTACTTGCAATTTCTTGCTTTCGAACTGCTAGGTTGGCAGGAGCTGGAACTAGAGACAGGAGCTCACCCTGTCTTGCGGCACCCGGGTCTTGAACCGCTGAACTACTGACCTTCCACAGCCTGCAGTTCAGCGTCTTAACCACTTGAGCCACCGCAGCTCCTTACAATATACTATAAAACACCATAATTAAAATCCATTGTTAAAAACCCAGCCTGACATAAAAACATATAAAACTGAGCAGCTTAACATAAGTTTAACAGTTTTCACAGTAAAAGGAGAGTGTAAAACTCCCCAGATATTCCACCACAAAGGTACAACCCCTATAATTTGTCCCTGACTGCTACATTTTGGAGCAGTTTTCAAATGCAGTCCCACATAGAGCACATTACACTAATCTAACCAGGATGTTATCAGAGTTCGGACATAGTGGTTGCATCAAGCTTTTCAAGGAAGGGCTGTAGATGAAGCTGATAGAAGGTGCTATGTGCCACAGAGACCTCACCTTCCAACCACAGGCCAACATCCAGCAGCGCCTCCAAGCCCGCACCTTCGGGGGGAGTGTGACTCATCCCAGGAAAGGCTGATTCCTCAGTCCTTGAGTAGCTTTGTCACAGACCAACGACATCAGCCTTGTGTAGAATAAGCTTCAATTTAATGAATGTCACCCATCCCCATTACTTTCTCCAGCACGATCGGCTCAGGACTTCCACAGACCCACCTGACTCAGCTGGTAAATGTACTTCATTTTTAAAACATGAGAACTATCTTGTAATTAACTCCTGAGTTAGATTATGCTATACACAATGGCATTGAAAGATATACTTGTTCTAAAGTCGCACCAATTTAGAGGTTAACAATAGTAGATGAACACTTGTTTAAATCCTTCCATGTTCTTGCTGTACTGATTACAATAGGTTTACCCTAGGTAACAGACAGACAAGAAGCAGGTGGGGAACAGATGACGTGCAAGAGAATGAGTTTTACCTGTGCCAGTTTCAGGAAGCAGTTGGGCAGTCTCCATTATATCACATGGTTGTGAATGTACTTCTTCCCCTTCTGAATGTTTGCAGAGACTGCAGATATACTCTTTTAACTGAGCATCCAGGTCATTATCAGGAGGTTTGTCACATTCTATGTGAATCCACCTGGAGAGAAACATAAATTAAACTTATCTATTTAAATGTTCCACTAAAATCCAGGGGGAAGCCTTGTGATACCGGAGGAAGTTTAAATGAATAATACCAAAAAAGATCTAAGAAGTTACAATGCAGATGCTCAGCCAACTTTTATACCCTGAGCGCCCACGCTCTAATGGGTACTACAGTAGCTTTCTGTATGTAATTCTTTATCAGATGTAACTGACAAGATTCATTTCTGGATACATAAGTAACTAAACAGCTAAACACCTGTGACCGTTATTTTTATTTATTTGTTATCAGAACTTATATTCCATCTTTCCCCATGGCATCTTTTTGTTGTTGTTGTTCAGTCGCACAGTCGAGTCCGATTCTTCGCGACCCCATGGACCAGCTCCCACCAGGCCTTCTTGTCTTCCGCCGTCCTCTGAAGTTGGCTCAATTTCATGTTCGTTGCATCGATGACACTGTCTAACCATCTCATCCTTTGCCATCCCCGTCTTCTTTGACCTTCAATCTTTCCCAGCATCAGGGTCTTCTCCAGTGAGTGCTCCCTTCTCATTTGGTGGCCAAAGTATTTGAGCTTCAGTTTCATTATCTGGCCTTCCAGGGAACAGACAGGGTTGATTTCTTTTAGAATTGACTGATTTGATCTTCTTGCAGTCCAAGGGACTCTCAAGAGTCTTCTCCAGCACCATAGTTCAAAAGAATCTATTCTTCGGCACTCAGACTTCCTTATAGTCCACCTCTTGCAGCCATACATGACTACTGGGAATACCATTGTTTTGACCATGCGGACTTTTGTTGGCAGGGTGATGTCTCTACTTTTTATCATGCTATTTAGGTTTGCCATCGCTTTCCTCCCAAGGAGCAGGCGTCTTTTGATTTCATGGCTGCAGTCACAGTCTTACAATACATAATTAAAACATCATACAACAATGAACCCCTGAATTCTCTTCCCAACCTAACAAAGTCTAGGAACATACAGTAAACACAACGAAATGCAAGCTATCCATGTGGACTGAATTCATCTTTCTGTTATAAAGATCTTGATGGTAAGTCCCATTAGCGGCTAGCAGTAGCTGCTGTGATTATGATACCAAGGGAATTTTCAATGGATTAGTGTTGGGCCCAACAAGTAGGTACCAAAAGGAAATTAAAATGTAAAAATGAGCTCCCATTAAAGGTTTGGGGCCATTAAGAACAAGCACCAGATTTATCCCACTCTTTAAGACTGAAGGTTAAGACTTCTTACCTTTTGCACATATGGCAACGCAGCTTGTCTTTTTGCAAGTCTGGATGGGATGATTTTTCACAGAAAGGACAAGGTAGGCTGTCATGCTGATGGTAACAACTGTCACACATAAGACAGTTGTGATGCCACTGACTACTAGTACGTGTGCCACATTCTGCGCATATCCTGCAGTTCTGAAAAACGAGAGAAAATAGGCCCTTCTGTGTTTATCATAATATTCTATGGCAGGGGTCCCCAGCATTTTTGACCCTGAAGGCACCTTTGGAATTCTGACAAAGTAGTGCAGCCACAAAATGGCTGCCATAGGAGGCTGAACCAGCCACAAAATGGCTGCTGCAGCTTGCCTTCAGTCACATAGCGAAGATCCTTGTGCTCTGGTGGCAGCTGCTGCCAAAGCAATGGTTTTAAAAAATCTGCACAGCCAATCCAACCTCCGATGGCCAATCAGAAGCTTTATTCAGTAGAAACCCCAACTGGCCCCAATGACTTTCTAAAAACATTTGGCGCTTGCCAGGAAAGGTGTTGGTGGGTGCCATTGGGGAAACCCATGCTCTACAGCACCAAAACAGTGGTTGAGTAGAATGTTACACGTGGCTTAAAAGAAGAATTTAAACATACAACGAGCCATAACTAGGAACCTCAATCACTCAAAATTTAGACTTGGGAAATCTTCTCACAGTGCACTACCACTTTACACAGATGTCTTTGCTGGCCACTGTTCTCCCTTGCAAACAAAAACGTCTGCTGATGGGCTCCACATGCACACGGGAGTCCTCTCACAGACACTCTCTAATGACATTTTTATGCAGAAAGAAATCAGACCATCTATATCTCCCATTTCTTCTTCTGAACTAATATCTATGCAAGCATAAGTCACATAATAATATTCTGCTGCTACAACTGAAGAAAGAAAGGCATTCGTCTCAGTCCTCAGACACACACGAGATATTCAGTACTGCCTCTCAATGCTCCCCTCTAAGCTGTAAAGTCTTCTGAGCAAAAATTCTACTTTGTGACCTACTGGCATTAAAGGGCTAATTTGACAACTGCATAAATAAGTTTGCTCTGGAGCCATCCTTCCTGAGCTAAGACAAAAATCTGTGAGCTGGAGGCTAAAAACTGTGAGCTAGCTCAGACTAACTCAGTTTAGAGGGAACACTGCTGCCTGTCAACATAGAGTTATGCAAAGAGAAAGTGAGGACTCTCTTCTTGGCCTCAGCCTTCCTCTCCTCATTGTACTAGACTGAGGATTCACATCAATCAAGTTTTAGCTTTTTCAACTGAGAAAGTCTCATTTTTACACATGTAAAGAAACAAAGGATTAAATGAGAAACAGGGAATTCTATATTAAAAGCAGTGCGTAACTCCAAAAGCCTCCTCTTCAGTTGGACCAATTTGGATATTGAATGTACCATATAGTTTATCAATAATTGGCTTGTACAACTGCCAATTAATATAATAACGTTTCTTATTATTTTTAATACAAGTGTGAAGCTCCTGGAATTTCTGGCTGGCAGAGATTCCATCTAGCATCAAAAGCATCTGGCTGGCATGCAATGAATTCCCCATCCAGGAGGCAAATGAATACAGGGAAAAATAACTAGTGTCTCAGGGAAACAATGCAATGTATTACTATTACAATACTATTTGACAACCAAACATTCATACACTGGTAACATTCTAGCTTTGATTGATCATTATGGGCCACTTTTAATATCCATATTTCACCACCTATAAAGGTAGTTTACAGATCTACCTTCAGTCCTGGTTAAGAATCCTGGTTTGTAGGGAAGAAATAATCTCCAATTTATACAGGTGATCCTATTTGGATATCATGGCAAACTGGTTTGATTAAATGATTCAGAAAGCCATTAACATAGAAAACAGACAAACATTCTAATCGGGTTAAAAATACCCCTATGAGTCGCTCTTTCGGCCGAGAGGTCGGAGAGTGAGGCTCCCGCCATGCCCTGCCCCAATGGACCTTGCTGCGTGAGCGACCCCGAACGGGGTTTAGCGGAGCCACCAGACGTCACCGAGTGATAAAGCGACCATCCGGAAAAATTGAAAAGAAAAAGAAAAGATCGGCTTAACTGTGAGTTGTCAAAATGCAGAGAAAAAGAACTGAAAATTGTTTTCCCCCCCCTCCCAGCGAAAAAGGCGAAGAGGTTAATCCTCCATCTATACAAGCGAAAAAGAAAAGGAGGGGGGGGATGAATTGAGCGGACAGTGATGTTTTCCTTTGATGTATTTGAAAGCGAGAAGCTTGTCTCTCTGGAGCACATTTTAAGAACTTTCTAAAAGTAAACAAAAAAGAAAAGATGTCGGAGCTGGGGACATTAGAAGCCCTCCCACTGTTGGGACTTCCGTCTGGGCGTTTGTTTATGTGCAAGAGCCGGCTGTTGAATGTTTGGACTGTTTATGGCTGAGAATCCGACGGGAGTTTTGCAAAAAAGATAAGTTGGAATTGTGACAGCGAGAGTGCCTGATAAGCGCTTATAAGTCAACAATTGCGAGGAGGACCCATAGAGAGTCTGGGAGCGAATATAAAAGCGAAAATGAAATTGATACCATTCTCGAAAATGGGGACCTCCGGGGTATGAAAGGAAGAGGATTTATAGTACATGAACTGAGCGTATTAACAACAACCCGAAGGAGGATCTAACAAGCCGGAAAGACAACAGAGGAAGCTCCTCCACGTCAGCGATAGTAAAAGTACCCAGCACGCAAAGAAGCGGTTCTGAATGTGCACAGAAGAGACCCCTTTTATTAACAGAATCTCAAAGGAACATTACTAACATACTAACAGAGAATACATGTAACAGGACTAAGAAAAGAAGTTTGGCAACACACAGAAGAAGCCCAAGAAGATTAATTGGACATTACTAACAGTTTAATTTACCAGTTTATATATCACTCAGCTTTCTCTTTCTCCCACTGTCTACCCCTTCCTTTTTTTCTTTTAAGCGAAATACCTCCCCTTTTTAGGGGAGCCAATAAAACCTTTATTAAAAAAAAAAAAAAGAAAGCCATTAACAGCACTCTGTGTGTGTGTGTAGGGGAGCAGGGAGGGTGCTAGCACAGCAACAAGTCTGATTAGTGTTCATCACAAACAAATCTCAGTTCATCACAGCTGGACATAACCTAGGCTCAAAACACTATGGAAAATGAAATAATACGATAAAAAGAATATTTCTGTTGTTGGCATCAAAAACAATAACATTATACTTAAACTCACTTTGCATTTCCAGCCATTTGTTGGTACAGAGTCCATAACTGGTTGTAAACAAAAGGTGTGATACCCTTTGTCGCATGTATCACACACAAGCATCTTGTTATCTTCTCCGGAATGCCTAAGGAAAGGGGTCAGTGGTTTAAATCTTATTAGGCAAGAAAGAAAAATATTCCTTAAGAATTAGTATCGCTTTGGAGCAAGACAGCAGGGCACAAACGCTAACACGTGTGTCAAAAAAACAAGATAATTAAAGGCTAGATTCTCAAACTAAATACACCTCAGACCCCAACTAACACTTTTCTCTACTAGAAGCAAACACATGCTTATTATCCTATGTTACAAGTCACATACCAGTGCAATGTGACAAGCCACAACTTTACACTGAGGTTGCAAAGAGTATGCCCAGAAATATATCATAGACAAGGAGTTCTAGTACTCAGTGTTTATGTCGAACCTGTCTTAGACTATTAAGGAAGAGTGAAAGGACAAGTAAAGGTCGATCTCTGAAACCACATCCACTACCCCAATTTATACAGATTTATTCCATCTCCAAAGCCAATTCCACCAGAGAGTCTGCTGTGCAGGAGTCTGGTAAGGAAATGAACGGAATCCCCAATGCACTGTGGACCTCCACACTCACTGATTACAAACCATCTTTGAGCCCAACAGAATTTGACAGAATAAAACCATGTAAACTTGGATGAAAGAATTCCTACTCACATATGTGGAAGAAACTCAGGTTGGTTAGGGGATAGTAAAAAACAAAGGCCATTCCCATGTATTTCCACTTCCCCTTCCACCTTTATTTTCACTCTTCCCTCCCTCTTTCCACATAATAAAAAAGGTCACAGCACCTATTCTTCTACTCTATACCCTGCCCAATACTTAAAAATATACTGCTAACCTGCCCTTCTCCATATCTGCCTTGGACATTGCCTTTATAACAGTCTCGCCTTACAGGAATTGCCCACCTTTTGTTTCCCTTACTTCTATTTATCAAGCCCTGGTACTTACAAGGTTGTTACGGGTTTCTAGGGATGATCCTCTTCTTCCTCATCACTTTCTGTGATAGTTAGAATTTCTAGTGTGGATGTTAGCATATGTATGGACCACATTCCAATTTCACTTACTTGCAGTTCTGGCACACTTTGCAGTCAGGACACTGCCAACCTGCCCGTTTTATAGGTGTCACTTGGATATCCAGACACATCCCATGGTAATGCTGCCCACAGGTAGTACAAAAAAGTTGATCTAGGAGGTCTCCAGGGCTATCACACAATGCACAGTTTGCTTCTTCCTTTGCTACAAATTAACAGACAGCTTTTGAATCATTTAGAAAGAAAACTTTAGAAAAAACCAAAAAGATATAGCTTTCAATTACATTAGCGACTTTATCTCAAGTATTATTCCAACATTACTTAAAGACTGCAGTCAAATCTACAAAATATTATGAAAGAATATATATTGGAATTAAAAGACAAGTCGCTTCTGTATGGATACATGGAATATGAATATGGAATACATATGAATACATGGGTTACATCATTTATCAATGAAATTCTACTGTTAATTTCCTTACTTTTGACATCTATATCGCAGCAAGTATGATGGTTATTCCTATAGTAGCAGTAGATCAGGAATGATGGAGAAGATGGGCAGAAAGGACTGGTTTTCTCCCCCTATTCCTCACCTATTCTGTTAAAGGCCTGAAGGATGGTAAAGTGGGGGATGGGGAGATTTCCTGCTACTTGGTGTTTATAATGTTGAGAGCAACAAGAACAGCAAATGACACGGGTATGGCCACAGTGCACTCTCTACCATCTAACATAGCCTTGGAGAGGCTACTGCCATCCATATGCAACAGCAGTTTACTTACAAATTTGATTGCTTGTCTGAATTTTAGATTGTTGCTCTGTTGATGCATCTATGTTTTATTGCATTTATTCTGTTATATTTTAACTTGTTGTAAGCCACCCTGAGCCTGCCTATGCGGGGAGGGCGGGAAAGTATAAATAAATAAATAAATAAATAAATATAATAGTCTCAACTATAATGGATCAATGGGATGTTTTGCTGTATTAGCAAATTAAGTTGTTAACATGCGGGTATACTCACTACTGCAGCAATGCAACTTCCTAGGCAAGTTGCATCAATGTTGTAGGAAAACCTTCAAAAATACTTTGGCTGAGCGTTACACAAGTACCACTGTGCACAGGACTGCTGCCTGTATATGTCAGCATCATGAGAATCAATAAGATGCTTACTTCAAAGAAAGCAGTAGTGGGGTAGTAAATAGGCTGTATCTAGATTAGTGTATGTATGTATGTATGCATGCATATTTCTTTTCCTTGATATTATTCTTCATTCCTTTTCTTCCCTCACTTTTCTAAATCACTTTTACTGCAAATGGCAAAACACTCCTTTTAGAGCAGCACAATTCACTAGGAAATTCTCAAGGATCAATTTCCTCATACAAAATACTTTGTTATTACATTATAGATCTGACTAGCAGTAAAGCCCGTTGTGGAAATAAATACAACGAGATCTAGAAAGAGGCTCTGGGGGAGTACTCTGGCTTTGGGCAAACAGTGTCATTTTGCTGTGGTGACCTCAGCAGGGTATAATGACAGAGTCCACTGTTTTCTCCAGAGGAACTGATCTCTGGTCCCTGAAGAGCAGGTGTAATTTTGAGTGATCCGTAGCCCTCACCTGGAAATTGGCAACAATTGTTACCCAGGACGAAATGGCTGGTTTGGAGGGTGGAGTCTATGGCATTCTACCTGTCTGAGGTCCCACCCCTCCACAAACCCCACCCTCTCCAGGCTCCACCCCTCAAATCCCCAGGAATTTGCCAGCCTGGAGTTGGCAACCCCATCTCCTTCGCAGGTAACCATCAACCTACCATTATCTGCCCCTTTGACTTCAGCTGACTTCCGCTCTCCCTTCTGCAGAGCAACTGTAATTTTGAGTGGTCTCCAGCCCTCACCTGGAGATTGGCAACAATGGTTCCCCATGAGGGACTGAGTGGTTTGGAGGGTGGAGTCTATGGCATTGTACCTGTCTGAGGTCCCACCCCTCCTCAAACCTCACCCTCTTCAGGCTCCATCCCTCAAATCTCCAGGAATTTCCCATCGGGAGTTGGCAACCCTATCAGGATTGGCCCCAATATGTTTTCTCCCAAAGGCCAAAGTAGGTGACTGGACCAAACTAAGTTGCCTACCATCAGGCACTGAGGGGAAAGTAGGGTTGCCAGCTATAAGGAGGGAAATACCTGGAGTGTTGGGGGGTAGATTCTGTAGAGGGCAGCATTGGGGGGGGCGGAAGGACTCAGCAGGTATAATGTCATAGGGTCTACCCTCCAAAGCA